CCTTCCATTTTCCTCATTAAATTCTGATGAATTGGTTTGGTGCCAGAATAGGTAGAAAGGAGTGGTCAACAATTATTTTAAGACTGAGAAAGGCTGTGAAATGATAATGAGCCTCTTCTCTCTTTCTCCTGTTCTTTGCTCTCCTTTCTTTTAATTATACTCTCTGTAGCCCAGAAATAAAATTGTAGCAATGTATTAAGCTATGGAGCAGTTAAATCTGCTAGATACACACCATTCTCATTATAATAAAAAGTTGGCTCAAATATTTCAAATTATTTTTCCTATCCTTATTTCACTTTGAAACAAAATAAAGCTCTCTAAATGTCAAACAGCAAGAACTATCTGAGGCCCCAGATCTAAAAATGTGGGAGAGGGGCACCTGGATGGCTCAGTTGGTTGAGCAACCGACTTCAGCTCAGGTCACAATCTCACGGTTTGTGGGTTCAAGCCCTGTGTGGGGCTCTGTGCTGACAGCTTGAAGCCTAGAGCCTGCTTCTGATTCTTTGTCTCCTTCTCTCTCCCTGCACCTCCCCAATTCGTACTCTGTCTCTCTCTCTCAAAAATAAACATCAAAAAAAAAATAATAATAATGTGAGAGAATTTCTCCTACTTCAATTTTTGGCATTATTATTGGCATAATAAAAAAATATTTTCCCAGAGAAAATAGACAAATCAATTCTTTAAATCTTAAAACTCAACATGCACCACTGCTTTGATGTATTTCAAATATACTATGGAGAGAGACAAAGGAGAAACTAAAAAGCATTAGCTTAATTGACTTTAAGGAAAATGGCTAGAGACGGAACTCCTGCCCAACAATTCCAGAATCAAAGGATCTAATGAGATGGACAGACTGCTCCTTCTGCATCGCTGATGGAAACAGGAAATCGATAATTTCTATTTTTTTCTTTTTAAAATTAAGAAAAAGGCAGATGAAGTACCCATAAACTGGCTGAAGATAGAAATAGTGTTCTCTGAAAATCAATTAACAAGGACCCCTACTCAGCCCGCTGCAGCAACTGACTAGGTTTCTCTCCCCACCTCAAATCTTTATTTAGGGGCATCTTTGTTACTGTGACATTTGGTCACTCATCCACCCACCCATCAATCCAACAAAAAACATTTATTGAGCACATAGTGGTGATAGGCTCTAGATGCTGTGTGTATGAAGGAGGGCGGGAAGGGGAGAGTAACAAAAAAATTAAGGAATACCATCTTTTCCTCCAAGCATTTAACAGTCTAATGAGGGAGGGCCGCCCCCCCCCCCCCCAAAAAAAAGTGAGGAACTTGGAACCCGATCGATCTCAGTTTGAGTCTTGGCTCAACTTCTAAGACAGGTGGCTTCAATACTGACTGTTATTTAACCTCTAAGGTTCACTTTTCTGCATAAACGGGGGGACAGTAATTCCTATCCACCTACTAGAGCTGACGCTTCAAGGAGATGATGCAAACAAAAGCACCTTGTAACATGCCTAAGGTCTCAAGGCTGGATCAACAGAATGAATCTGATAGCTTAGGACAGAACTGGCAGTTTTGCCTCAAGGGGCACAGAAGGTACCAACCAATCTCAGCGATACGAAGCCTTTGAGTGGAACGTAGAAATTGAGTTGTTTTACAAAAGTCACCCTCCACCCAAAATAAAAGCAGGATTCAGTTTCTTTCCGTTTGTCACTATTGATGCATATACGTTGGCTACTAGCAGGAGGAATAGCGGATAAAGCACTGGTTTTAGGTCACCTCCACTGTACGACCTTGGGTTCACTTCACCTCTTCGTGCTTCAGGTTTTTTTTTTTTTTTTCATTCGTAAAACGAGGATCAAACTTCCTGCCTAACTATGCACCCAATTTTTCAATTCAAATGTATGTGAAAGCCCCCTGTACGTGCTAGAGCACCTGGCAAATACGTTTAGTAATTTTTTCCCACATTCCGAAAAGGATAGTACCTCCCTGCTTGCCTGGTCACTCTTTCTTCTGGATCTTTATTAACGTTGTAATTTATAATCAAAGAAATAACTGCAATCCTTTGGCCATTTCCGGCACCAGATTCCCGAGCCCCACCCATATACACCGCCAAGCCACCCGCCCTGCTGGGGACCGAAGGAAACTTAGCCCTTCCCCACCCGGGGGCGGGCCCCAGCCCGTCAGGCCCCTCCGCTGTGAGTTCCCGAAGCCAATCCCCACAGCCCTCGTGCACCCGCCCGCCCCTTAGAGAGAGGAACTACTGTGGCGGCCCGGAAGAACGGCAGGGGCGCAAGCCAATCACTGCGGAGGGCTGCCCTCATCCGGCAAGGCCCAGAGGCGGGGTCATCGGCCAAGATGGACAGCCAGAACAACCAATAGAATGATCGGAAACAGGGGACGGGGCGGACGCCGGGCGCTCACAGAGCGGTTAAGGCCCCTCGAGCCAAGGGCCCAAGAACCCGGCTCGGACTACAGCCTTTGCCTTTATCCATCCCAAACTTCTCCATCCCATGGTTGCTGGCCAGCCGCCCTGCCTATGGACTACGGGTGAAGGGAGGACGGAGGTGGCGGCGGTTGAACCCGCCTGACAGGCTGGGCCAGTGACAAAGAGCCGGTGGCCCAGGCCGAAACCCGGGAACGATCCCTTTGGGGAAGAGAGCATAAACCCCTTTAGAGATAGGAAAGATGCAACTCACGTTGTCGATCACGACAGGCTGGTTGGCGATCACATCGTAGGACTCCATGGCAGAAGAATATCTCCTTCCGAGGAAGGAACTGCCAGCCGGGTCTGCTGCTAACGCCACTGACACGCATGCGCAGTCTAGCCGCCGGTCCAAGGCGGCTAGGGAGCGGCCAGACCTCGCCTCCGAAGAACTACAACCCCCAGCATGCCTTACCCCTGGGTTTAACTCGCCAGGCCCCTTTGGAGCCCCGCCTAGTTTGAGTAGGGCGTCGCATTTCGACGCACAGTACCCTGGGCTTTGTAGTCTCCTTCGATGAATAGACGGGGACGCAGATTGATGACTGTATTGCACGCTTGGCTCTGTAGTTCCATTGAAGGGATTCGCACGCAGTGCATGCCTGAAGTATGTAGTCTTCTGGAGTACTTGTCTGTAGTTGGGTTTGAATTGGCCGGTAATTCGTGGATGTTTAGATTTTCCAGGTCAGTCCCTGCCACCAGTTCTCCTGGACAATTGCTGTGTTTTTATTTGGGTCAATAAGACATTAATAAACATTTATCAGCATCACATTCTAATAAAGGAACATTTAATACACGCACACGGGGAAAGAGGACATACTCTCAGAACAAAAAATGCATTTTATAAAATTTGCTTTTTGGAAAAAACCGGCACATTTTTTGCTTCTTTTCGCATTTATTCCTGGGTAGGTGTAGACTTTGCAACAGGTTAACATTGGTCTGAAGACTGGCATTTGTAACTACGGGTACAGATGATCTTTTGTTCATTAAAACATCGTTCATTTAATAGCTTCAGGAACTGCTTTAATATCTCTATTTTTCATGGAGAATTAGAATTGACATTGAGGAATGAGAAAATGGAGGTGAAGAGAAGTTTTGTGTCACTGCTTTCAAATGACACCAATGCATTTTTCTCCAGATTAGGCACCCCTCCCCCCCCCCCTTCAAATTGCAAGAACCCTTTAGTCAATAGCACTGGTAATCAGGACTTCTTTTTATTCCTTTCTCTTGGAATTCCTTACTGTACACAGGAAAATAATTCTCAACCCGGTGCCTTAGGAACTAAAAATTCTCCCAGAGACGCCTGGCTGGCTCAATCGGTGGGGTATATGACTCTTGATCTGGGGGTTGTAAGTTCCAGCCCCATGGTGGGTGTAGAGATCACTTAAAAAATAAAATCTTTTTAAAACTTCTCCCAGTGACAGAAAGTCAAAGGTAACGGGAAAGAGCAGATCCGTAGTAGATAACGAATTTTGGTGTTCCTCAAGGTAATCTGCATACATCTGCATAAAACAGAACAAAGAAGAGATTGTCATCACTAAAAGCATTTATCAAAAAAATTGCCAAGTCTTGGTGCGCCTGGTTAAGCGTCTGACTCGATTTTGGCTCAGGTCCTGATCTCACCGTTCCTGAGTTCCAGCCCTGCGTAGGACTCCACGCTGTCAGTGAAGATTCTCTTGGGAATCTGCTTGGGATCTTCTCTCTCTCCCTCTGTCTCTCTCTGCCCCTACCCTGCTCACGTGCTCTCTCACCCTGTCTCTCTCTTTCTCTCTCTCAAACTTAAAAAAAAATTACCAAGTCTTTTAAATTGATCCTAGTTTGGGGCGCCTGGGTGGCGCAGTCGGTTAAGCGCCCGACTGCAGCCAGGTCACGATCTCGCGGTGCGTGAGTTCGAGCCCCGCGTCAGGCTCTGGGCTGATGGCTCAGAGCCTGGAGCCTGTTTCCGATTCTGTGTCTCCCTCTCTCTCTGCCCCTCCCCCGTTCATGCTCTGTCTCTCTCTGTCCCAAAAATAAATAAACGTTGAAAAAAAAATTTAAAAAAAAAAAGAAAAAAAAATAAATTGATCCTAGTTTAACTAACTCTTGCCACTTTTAAGAGGACTCCAAAATAAGTATTTCAACATAGGACTCCTGAATTTGGCGGTGTTAGTGTCAGTCAGTAAGAATGTCAGAAGGACATTCAAAGACGGTAGGAAACATTCAGATTTATAATCTGTTAAAACTAATGCCACACTAAGGAGTGAATGAATCAATCCATTATTGTCAGATTTATGTTTAAATTCTTGTTAGCATCATGTTGGAATAGTGACAAACTCTTTGGCGGCGCACTTCCCACTGCTTTCGTGGGACCCTAGCCCCTCAGGATGCCGCAACATCTCTAGTTAAACCTGGGTTCCTCCTAACACTAGGGGGAGGCCAAGAGCCTTGGGACGCCCCAACACAAGGAGAAGGAGGCGGGACCTATTGTCAAGTCACGCCTTCCCCACCTGTGACTGGCACAGACACTAGCCAATGGATGCCGGAATAGGGCGCTCCGACGCCCCGCCCTTTTGAGCGCCCCGCGGCCCCCGAGGCACCCTCTGGCCGTCTCTGCGGCGGCGACGGCCTGGGCAGACTGTGCGCGGTGCGCAGGCGCGGAGCCTAGACCTCGCTGCAGCCCCCATCGCCTCGGGGAGTCGCACCCACGGAGTCCGCCTGCTGGCGCGTCAGTGATCTCCCTTTCGTCCACCCTCCCCGGTCCCCCCAGCGCCCTTACGCGCCCGGATGGCGGAGCTGCGGCCTAGCGGCGCCCCCGGCCCCACCGCGCCCCCGGCCCCTGGCCCTAATGCGCCCCCGGCCTTCGCCTCGCTCTTCCCCCCGGGACTGCACGCCATCTACGGAGAGTGCCGCCGCCTTTACCCTGACCAGCCGAACCCACTCCAGGTTACCGCTATCGTCAAGTACTGGTATGCTCTGGGCCGCGGGGAGAAGGACAGGGGCGGGATGGGAAGGGTTAGAGCGCCGAGGGCGAAGTCATTTGCTGGGGAGAAGGAGGTGGAGAAGAATGGTTAAAGCACTTAGAAGGAGGGCGTCCTGCTGCGAGGGAAGGAGTTAAGGCTCAAGTTGAGAATGGGGACAAAGGGGTTAATGGAGCCAGTGGGTAGCGAAGGGTTAACGAGGGAGGATGAAGGGTTAACTAGGATTAGGAGAATAGAGTGAGTTGGGGGTGTGTGTAGGGGGGGGCGACAGGAGAGAGGGAACTGTAAACGTGGTGAAAGGAGGGGGCGCCTGTAGGGGGTCATTAGTGGGCGAGGGGAAGCCGGGGGCGGGGGGCGGCTGAAGTGGGCTGGGGGAGGCGAGGCGGGGCCTGGGGAGCATAGGAGAGGGCTTTGGAGGAGTGCGGCTGGCGGAGCTCAGAGGGCTCGAGACTGCACAGGGTAGGGGCGGCTCTGGGAACCCCGGCTCTCCCGTAGGTTAAGAGGAGGAGCAAGTTTCGAGAGTTGTGTTGGTGAAGAGAGGAGGAGGAGGAGGTCTCTTTTGATACCTTCCCAGTGAGCTCAGACGTCAGATCGGTGCCGTGCTTTCGCGTTTGAAGTTTCACGGAGCAAGTTTTCTCGATAAACTTTCTGCTTACTCGGCACGGTTCTCTTTCTTCAAGCAGAGCTGCCTCTGGCTCTGCAGCCGCTTTGCTTTAGGACATTGACTGGAACAGAGGCAGGATCCGGGAGAGCCGTGGTTTGGGATTGAAGGGGACCACAGTAAAAAATGAAAACCTGGGACGTTGACACGGAGGAAAGAAGTGCAGTTAAGATGTTAAGAGGAGCTTCCTGTCCACAAACTTCAGGATTTAGGCTGTAGTCTCTAAGGGAAGCAGAGAGTAACCCTCAAGTGGCTCTGTTAAGATCAGACCTGTATTCAGAAGGGCTGCCCTTGGGGTAGGAATGGTCCTTTCTTGTTTCCCATTCCTGTTTGCAACCTTCTCTTTCTGCAGCCTCTGGGCAAAACAGGTGTTATAGGGACTCCGACAAAGAGCCTGTCTTCATGGTCTTTCTGGACCAAATTGACTGAGGAATTGGTTGAATCTGTCCAGAACCACATTCATGCATTGTGTTAGATGATCCCCTTCATTGAGTCTTGAAAGACTGTCTCTTCAGGAAGCAGCTTGGAATGTGGCCAACGGGGCAGGTAGACCCAAAGGGGGAGGTTGATAGAATGGATGTCTTTGCTGGTTACCTCTCCCTTTAGGGCTGAGTCTTCTCCAGGATAACCTCTTAACTTCATCTGGAGGTGGCAGAAACTAGACTGGCTAGGGCTGAGGCCAGTTCCATGTGTCAGTAGGAGGATGTAAAGAGGCTGACAGCATGGAGTGACCTGGAGTCACTACAGTCCTGCAACTGCCTTGTGGGGTGTAGTTAGGTGTTCAAGGAAGTAAGTTCAAGGAAGAGCATCAAGGGATTCTCTGGGTCCTTGGATAACATCTTTTTCTAAGTGCAAAATGTGATTATTTTCTATATACTCATCTGTTTCCCATCAGGTTTATGAGTAGGAACAGAACACTCTGTGCTTGGGACAAGGTTAATTTTGTCTGACTCTTGGTTATTCCCTGCAGTTATAGTTTTAAGATAAAACCTCATTACGTGATGCTATATCCTCTGAGAGACTTGGCCAGAAAGAGGGCTGCAGGGGTGTGGCAGATAGAGTATGGAACTGCAGATACCCTTTTCTACTTGTTGCTGGATGGACCTAGGATGAAGAAGGAGCAAGATTGGGAATTTGCAGCAGGAAACCCAAGCAGATACGGAGCCTGTAGGCACTCCCATCTGTTCTGGGGTTCTGCATCTACCATGTGGTTCTTCTCGGGATAGCTACCCTTTTGTTTCCTCCTTTCCCTAGCAAACTTTTCTGTATCCAACTGGTTGTGGAAATAGTCTCATGATTTGGCCAAATCACAGTTAAGGGAAGACACAGAGATTTGTCCCCTTTCCTGATCCACTCAGTTCATATTCTTAGCTATTTGTAGCAACTCTCTTACAAGTTCTATAAATAACTCAGCATTTCCTAGCAGAGAATAGGGATTTCTATAAAGGCAAATAATACCCTGACAAAGGAGGATGAAACCAGACCTACTAGTTTTAAATAGTATTTAAATTGCATGATACTGGCACACGTGCTGGGATTACATGTAACATGTATTTTATTTGATCATTAGTGTTCCTTCAGCATATGATCCCAATTGCAAAATGCACTCCATCAATGTCCCAGGGGCAGGCAGAGTTTTTGCAGTCTGTGAAACAGTCAGATGTCCAAGGCAGCTCAAATGCAGTGTGTTTGTGGGCTAAATGCAGACTTCCTTCCGCTGATGGTTCCATTTAGTCTGTTTCTCAAGTCTACCAAGTTTCCCTATTCATTCTGAAGAAACATAGGACTTTTTTTTTTTTTTTTTTTTTTTTTTTTTAAAGAGCACTAATTGCTCTACTAAAGGAATAAAGGAATAAACCCTTATGGAATTAAATCCTCAGAGTGAGATAATGACTGAATCTCTTCCTCAGCTGCTTCTCTGTTGGAATTATGGGGGAAGTTTAATGTGGTCCTCAGAGGCCCCAAATCATTTAATATTCTAGCTCTACCTTTGAGGCAACAGTCTCCTAGGATCATCTTCCAAATGCAGGCACTCACAAGGCTCAGCCTGGCCTGCTGCGGTTCTCTGTGCAGAGCTGGGCTAGCCTAAGTTTGGCCTTTGTCACTTGCATGATAAAAGACCAGCTTTGGTCTGTGGGGTGCAGGCTGGGGTCTAGAAGCATTGGGTTTGTTTAGAGCAAACTGTAATTAACATAGGGCACAATATAGTCTTTCAGGAATTAGCTGTCTAAGAGGCAGGAGTGGAGCTGAGCCTCTGCTTCCAGGAACAATGCCCATTGGGGATGCTCAGGATGGTCTTTCAACAGAAGCCAATTGATTGACTAATGCACCTCTTGCTTTGAAGCTTGGCATGTTTACAGGCGCCATGGAAGAGAGATAATCCCTTCCAATCCCGTTTGGGATTGATAATTTGAAACAGGAGCAATCAAAAGGGACAACCACCCACTCTGTTTTATTTCTAAAAGAGTTCCTGCATATAGGGGCCAGGAGAAGGGAGCCTCTTGTGCTTATGGAATCGGGCAGTTTCTAGCTGCCCATCCCTTGGTCTTATCCCAGAGAGGTATGGCCTCCTTTTAGTTACCTTTCATCCCAGGTTCCTCCATGATGGGGTCTTTAGATTTGTAAGGCATAACTGCTTAGCTTCACATTGTCTGCTTTCAGACTCACACTGACTCCCTTGTGTTTTGTGTTTTGCAGGTTGGGCGGCCCAGACCCCTTGGACTATGTTAGCATGTACAGGAACGTGGGGAGCCCTTCTGCCAATATCCCTGAACACTGGCACTACATCAGCTTTGGCCTGAGCGATCTCTATGGTGACAGCAGAGTCCATGAGTGAGTGTGTGATACTCGCCCACCCTCCACCTGTCTGTTTCTTAGCCTTGAGCCTTATTTCTGGGGTTTCCCTCAGCAGGGATGATAATGTCATAGTTCTGTGAAGTTGGCATTTTTCAGGTGGAACCTCTGGGTTTCTGCCCTCTGCTTGTATCTGCATATGCCAGAGTGATCCACGTCAGCACCCGAGTTCTGCTCATCTGGTGTGGGACAGTGTTGATGATGAGCAAGTGTTCCAAAACCATCAGATTTTTCTAAGCTTGCTTTGGTGTTTGAGCCCAGAGGACAGTCAGCATAGCTATGACCCAGAATTTGAGTTGATGCTTTTAGGTCTACTTGTTTTATTCCCTCTAGCTTATTATGAAGAATTTTAAACATAAAGCAAAGTTGAAAGAATTTTATAGTGAACACACAAATACCCACCACCTAGATTCTGCAATTAACATTTTACCTACTTGCTTTATTATGAATATATCCATCTCTATCCTTCTGTTGATCTTATCTACTCCTTGTCTACTTCCTTTTAACCTGCGGTTGTCTGTACTCAGATTATTTATAGTACATTTTTTATTCTAGTCTAGTCTAGTCCCATTTTCTGCCCTGTACATTTCTGCCCTGTACATTTCTGTACACACCTACCTCCCCCACTTCCCTCTATAACCACTGAATTTAAACAATTTTTTACTATTAAGTTAAACATCAACTTAGTGTTAAGTCCGCTAAAAAAATAAGTTACATTAACAATAATGAAAGCTAACATTTATTAAGTATTGATGATGAGCCAGGTATTCTTCTCTTCACTTTGTATATATAAACTAATTTTATTTTCAACACAGTCATGTAATACTGGTAGATGCTCATATATGCCCCATTTTATGGATCAGGAAACTGAGACACAAAGAGAATCTATAACTTGCTTAAGTTCACGCAGCTTAGAAGTGGTGGAGCAGGATTCTAATGTAGGCATTTTGGCTCCAGAGTTCATACTCTTTTTAAAAAAAAAAAATTTTTTTTTTTAAGTTTATTTCGAGGGAGAGAGCGCACAAGCAGGGAAGGGTCAGAGAGGAGAGACAGAATCCCAAACAGGCTCTGTGCCATCAGCTCAGAGCCTAATATGGGGCTTGAACCCATGAACCATGAGATCATGACCTGAGCCGAGATCACGAGTCGGATGCTTAACTGACTGTGCCACCCCGGCACCCATCCAGAGTTCGTATTCTTAATGACTATGCTCTCCCATTTCTTAAACAATTATATCATGTACTCCAGTAAGTTACTGTCTATAATTAAAACAAATTTTTTTTTTTGTTTCCATCTACACTTTTTCATGGGAAGGATTCTTTTCTTCAATTCAAATGTTTTCTTGGGCACCTGGGTGGCTCATCAGCTAAGCATCTGACTTTGGCTCAGGTCATGATCTCACGGTTCATGAATTGAGCCCCGCATCTGGTGAGCACAAGCCCTGCTTCTCTGCTTCGGGCAAGCTTGAGCCCCACTTTCGGTGAGCCCTGCTTCTCTCTCCTTCTCTCTCTCTTTGCCCCTCATTGGTTTCTCTCTCCCTCCCTCTCTCACTGTCCCTCGCTCACTTGTGCCCTCTCTCTCAAAACAAACAAACAAATAAATAAGTGTTTTCCTTCTCTTCCCCCTTGTTAGCATGGTTAATCAAGAGCTGATTCTATTTCTATTATATAGCCTCTCCTGTTTTTTTGTTTCTTGTCCCCTTTTGCCTCCTATACTATCATTCTGGTATCTTGGTGATGACTACTTAGCATGTGTAGGTTGAAAGACTAGCAGGGTTCTTCCTGCCCTGCCTCAGCATAAGAGGCTGGTTCTGGAGATGATCATGGTATCATGATGAAGAAGATGATAATAATCTTTTTTTTTTTCTTTTTGTAGTTCTTACTAGCTTCTTTATCATTGCATCAAATACTTTACAATCTTACCAGGTTCTTTTGTTATCTCCGTTTTATAGATGAGAAAACGGAGTCACTTAGGGGTAAATGAATTGCCTAAAATAAAAGAACTAGGATTCACTTGAGCTGTCTTGAGTCCAAAGTCTGATCTCTTAACCACTGGGCTACTTTACCTCTATGATCACAGGTCCAATCCAACTTCCTCTTCTCTCTTGTTAAGCTGGGGGCGCAGGCCTCATCTCCTTACTGATCACATGTCGAGAGCAATGCCTGGGCCTGCCTTTACAGCCTTCCAAACAGATCCATTGCAATGTCAGCAGAAGGCTTTGGGAACAGTGAATTAATCTTGCCTGAATGGGGACCCTGCATTACAGTATTAATAATGGAGATAAAATAGCAAACAGATGTGGGGAGTAAAGGCACTATGCTGGACTTTAATGTATATTTTTAATAAGAACCTGCAGAGTGCAGTCAGCCTGTACCTTTTTGTTGACAGATTTATTCCAGTCAAAGGAATATCATTTCCTATTTGGGTTAAAGCTTCTTACACTCTATCTGCTTATCAGGTATGGGTCCAAGGCCTAAAGTGACAAGAAGAACATAATTGAGAAAGCTCCATATTTCACAGGGGGCAACCTCTGAATTTTAAAGACGGCCTTCCTTACTGTTTTTTCATGTTTGAAAGTACCCCTTTATATGTGTACAATTTCTGTCTGATAAAACACTTTGATATTTGTATGTCATTTATGACAATAGTGAGATCTCCATTTGGTCTGTATCTCACCACTGGAATCTAGTGTTTTCTGATATTATGTCCTACGTCTAGAAGGACATGGAAGGAGTGTTCTTGGATATTTACCCAGTTCTGGTCTATGTTACAGAAGTCAAAAGTACCTTTGTAATTGGCCTTGTGCTGGTGTGACTGGTCTCTTCTCGATCCTGGTAAGTTTCTTAAAGAAAAGTTTGCTTTTCCAAACATTTCATGTAGCAAGGCCTCTTTGAAACAGATTTAAAAATTCTTATTTAATTTAGTGTTTGAAGTTGAGGTTAGAAAGGTGAGTGTTCTATCATCCAGTTTAAATGCTAAGAAATGTTGAATTGGAATTATGGCAAATGAGTCTCTGGTAATGCTCTTCTCCCACTGTCTTTTCTCTTTCCATTCAGTGAAAAAAGGGCCAAAGCATTGGTTCATTTATTCAGCGTACATTCATCAAGCACCTATTTTGTACCAGATGCAGAACATCCTAATAGGTGTCTGAGGGATAAAATGCCAAGACGTAATTTCTATCTTAAGGAGGTCATGTTCTAGAGGGGAGATGAATATAAAGAGAGGCTTATAGTACTGGGTAATAAATGCTGTAATCCATGGCTGAAGAACATGACCTGGGAGCAGAGTAGAGGGTGTGACTTTTGGTCAAGCTGCTGGATTGGAAGAAGCTCCCGGGAGGAGGTGAAGTTTGAGAGGCACCTGCAAGCTGCAGGCCAGTAGGAACGGCACAGGGGGAATCTGCGGCCTGACACTCCAGGGTGCCCGCACTCACTGTCAGGATTGAGGGGACTTTAAAAATCTTCTGGCCCAGTGTTTCCCAAGCTTCTAGTGCTGCCTTCATGATTTTTGCCATGTAGTAAGATCATCAATTCTATGTTCTCTTTAACCCCCCTTTTGGAGTGCCTGGCTGGTTCAGTGGGAGGAACGTGATATTCTTGATGTTGTGGTCATGGGTTCAAGCCCCACGTTGGGCATAGAGCTCACTAAAAATCAACAAACTAACTGACTCTCCCCTTTTAAAAACTATTATAAATATATTTTTAAAAGTTTAATATATATTAAATATATATTTAAAATTTCAGTCATGGGGCGCCTGGGTGGCTCGGTTGGTTAAGCATCCGACTTCAGCTCAGGTCATGATCTCGCGGTCCGTGAGTTCGAGCCCCGCGTCGAGCTCTGTGCTGACCGCTCAGAGCCTGGAGCCTGTTTCGGATTCTGTGTCTCCCTCTCTCTCTGACCCTCCCTCATTCATGCTCTGTCTCTCTCTGTCTCAAAAATAAATAAACGTTAAAAAAAATTTTTTTTTAAATAAATAAATAAATAGAAGTTCAGTCACTACCATGTATGGAAACCAGTATCACTTGCCATAATTTAAAGGTAACTATAGAAATAAATGCAGTGATAACAAAGCAATATTATTAAATTCTGATTTAGTACTGTGGTCTGTCACAGAAGATTCTAAATCTGAGGCCAGCTTTCTTTTTTTTTTTTAAGTTTTTTTTAATGTTTATTTATTTTTGAGAGAGAGATTGACAGAGTGTGAGCAAGGGAGGGGCAGAGAGAGAGGGAGAGACAGAATCTGAAGCAGGCTTCAGGCTCTGAGCTGTCAGCGCAGAGCCTGATGCGGGGCTTAAACTCACAAACTGCGAGATCGTGACCTGAGCCGAAGTCGGATGCTCAACCGACTGAGCCACCCAGGTGCCCCGGCCAGCATTCTCTTTGTTCAAGAGATAAGCAAGTATGAGAGAGGTATTAAAAAGATACACTAACACCAAATAAAGCCTGGCCCTAGACATGATTAGAAAAATTGAAAGTGAATTGTAAAGGGAACTTAAAAAAAAAATGATTCAGTACTATTATTATTATTTTTTTAATTATTTTAATGTTTATTTATTTTTGAGAGAGAGAGACAGACAGAGCGCAAGCAAGGGAGGGCAGGGAGAGAGGGAGACACAGAATCGGAAACAGGCTCCAGGCTCTGAGCCATCAGCCCAGAGCCCGACGCGGGGCTCGAACTCACGGACCGTGAGATCGTGACCTGGTTGAAGTCGGACGCTTAACCGACTGTGCCACCCAGGCGCCCCAGTGCTAAATTCTTTTTATAAAGTTATCCCTTTATGTAATCCCTATAGTAATTCTATGACACAAGGAATTCTTATTACATCTTGCTTATAGATACAGACATTTAGGCTTAGTGAACTTACTGCATTGGTGGTAAATTAGAAGCCATGTTTAGTGATCCCACAGCTTGTATTCTGAACCACTATGCTGTATTGCCTTTGCGTTTTATCTTATTTTATTTATTTATTTATTTATTT